TATTGTGACTTTGAAACAGTTCGTAGATTTAGTACTGTAATTTTAAATACTAAGATATAAAGTTAGATTGTTTAACCATATATTTTTGCATACTTGTGTATTTGTTATTATTATTTTAGAATTTCAATGTTTTGTAATTTGCGATTTTATAAACAAAAGGACTGAATTCTACTATGTTTAAAAAGTCAAGGAATAATGTGCAAATAGTTGAAAATAGGGTTATTAGGTCCAGGGTTCGAGAATGGCAAAAAGAGGAAAACGGGCGGATTTTTGTTAGACTATCGCTAAGGTTTGGCTTGAGCTACAAAAGCAGAAATATCATCGCTAGACTGTCACACTTACTTCGCTCGAGCGACCGACAGACTGTCGCTCAGCCTTCCCTCGAGCGACAGGTTTATCCGGAAAATTTTTATTTCGAGATTTAAAGGCTTTTTCCCTAGCCATTCGTTTTTCTAACCTATCTATATATACCAAAACACTTTTGCATGAAAATTGATGAAGTTGAACATTGAGAGAGCTACATCCGTGAGATTCATTCGATTCTATCTTTCAACGTTCATCTACTTTGATTATTTTGGTGAGAAAAACATTGTTTCTATAATCCAAATACCAAACTGTTTTTCCTCTACATCTGGTTAGAGTTCTGAAGATCGAGAAAGTTTGCCTGGAGTTCCAGTCTATGAAGAATGCATGTTCTTCGTTGATCCTCGGGAAATAGAAGATTCCACAAGGCTAGGAGTGTGGAGGGATCGTCTAAAGTACCTCTCGATACCTAGCAGCAGCAGCTAAGGATTGGTACAGGGGAGCAAGGGATCCAGGGAGAGCTGTAGGGAGTGCAGTCGAGTGATCAGATAGTATGGGTCGTCTAGTCTGATAGACTGTAAGTTGCTCAAATCGTTTATAGTGGATTGTTGACATTTATAGTGGATTGTTGACTGACAAAGTGTTCAGAATTTTTTCCAATTGGGTTTCTCCATGATCACACCGTGTGTTAATTTACTGCTTTATTTATTGTTTATATAATTTGCGATATTCAAATATAGGATTAAACTGACTATAACAATTGGTAACTTGTTGCTAATTTGTTATAATACTTTTTAATTCCGCATTATATACATATTCACCCCCTCTAGTTATTGTTAGGGTCGAATTGCGTAATTTTCAATTTAGGTTATTGTTTTGTTTGAGGACAAACAAATAGTAAATTTGGTGGTATTTGATAAGTGTATTTTACACACTTATTAGGGTCTAAAATATTGATATTTGGTAATTCTTCTAAAACATATATCATAAATTGTTGTATTTTATGTTATATAGGTAAAATTCAATGGTTGAATGAGAAATCGAAATAAAGAAGCGAAAATTGGTAAAAAAAAAAAGGGCAAAATTCAAAGTTTGAGGATCAAATTGCAAATATCAATAGTTGATTTAGATCACAAGACGATACTTCAAAGATTTCTAGGAGACAATTGGATGAAATTAGAATTCAAAAAGGAATGGAATATGATCAAAATATTATCAAATCAATTTCCAATTGTACAAGTTATATTCTAGATCTTTAGTCGAAGATTTAGATCATTTTTGGCATAGTAAATTTCCGAATTGGAAATATTCTACTATAAACGTTGTAACCCTTTAAGTTAGTTTTCTAACGCACTTTGAATTTCCTCAATCGGATATTGAAAACGAAATTTATGGCCAAAATACTGACTTCTATGCAAAGACAAAAATATCCACGTGCAAAGACAACTTTTCTTATTCGATTGGAACTATTTTGGAAACCAATTTGGACGTAATTTTCAACCAATTTTCTACTCTTAAAAATACCTAACTATAGAATACATATTAGAGACCTTTTACATACATCTTATACTCTAATATTCATCAATTATTATCATTAAATGAGGAAAATTCATAATTTTTGTAAGAGTATTGAAGGGGACTTGTAAGAATTCAATCAAATGAAGATTCAAACTTGAGTTTTGGGCAAAAATGAGGAGGCGCAAGTGGAGATTCATCAAGAAACCATTGAAGAGATTCAAGATTTCAAGATTCATCTTCATCTTCTCAATTTATCAAAAATTCGGGTTATATTTTTCACTTAAATATAATTTCTTGTAATTTCGTTATGTTAGGCTAGTTTTATACATTGTTAGGATGAGATAAACCCATGTTATGAGATTTTTGGTATCAATTAATTATTTTGACGACTAGTTTTCTTGGATGTCTTTATTATTTTAACCGACTTTTCAATTAATTAGATACTAATTGGGATTATTTTTTGAAATCTATTATTATTGAGAGAGATAATAGGTTTTTAGCTAAAAATAATAAACATTGTACAATTCAATAGGGGATAGAGATATACATCTATGGTTTACATGGTTTCGATTGAATACTTAGTCCTTGTGGGTTCGTGATTTTTCAAGTATTTAGTTACGAATTAAGATGATTTATTGGAATCTATTATTTACGAGAGAGATAATAGGTTTTTAACTAAAAATAAAAAATATTGTAAAGTTCGATAGAGGATAGAGATATACCTCTACACTTTACATGGTTTACATAGGTGTTTTAGATCATTTAATACATTTATCATATTTGTATATTTCATTGAGAGATATGAAGGTCACATGAGTGGAACAAAGTTGATAACTATCAAGAGAGGTTTTCAATTAAATTAGTAACATTGACCAACAAGAATGATTACAAATTGTCACTTTAATTCTTTGTGCTAAAAATGGATTAATAATGGGGATTCAATATCTTAACAATATTTTCACATATTTGAAATCAAACCATTACTTTATTTAGTTGTGCTAATAAGGATCAATAGGGGATTCGACATCTTAGCTATACTTTCTCAAATTTGGAATCAAACCAGTTTAATTGCTTTCTAGTTTAATCGATAATTTATATATTAGTAAAGAAAACTCAAAACATATTTGCTATTCAATTAAGGTCGCTATAAATTTGAACTCGATTGAATACTTAGTCATCATGAGTTCGACACTCTGCGCACTACTATGTTATTTGTTCATGATTCTGTTCACTTTTGGGAAATCAAACGATCACTTTGATTTATGATCATACAAGAATGTGCTGGATTTACTTTATGAAGCTTAAATATGAGGTTGCTGACATCTTCGGGAAGTTTGAAGCTTGGGTTGAAACTCAAAGTCAATGTAAAATGCAGGTGATCGGGTTTGATAATGAAACTGAATATACTTCTGAAAAAATTAACAAGTTTTGTGAAGATACAGACATTGAATACCAGTTGACTGCACCTTACACTCTCTCAATAGAATTGCATTGTTGAGAGGAAAAAGGACAATTATGGAGATAAGTAGGTGATTGTTTAATGACAAAGGGCTCCTAAAGAAATTTTGGGCCGAAGCTGTGAACACAACAATTTTTTTGTTAAACAAATTGCCAACAAAAGTTTTTCCAGAAAATTACACCATTTGAAGCATGGTATGGCTATAAACCAAAATTTCTTAATCTGAAGACATTTGGTTATTTGTGTTTCTCTTACATTCCTCAGGCTAAGAGAAACAATTTGGACAAGAAAGCATAACTCAGGATTTTTGTAGGCTATAGCTCAGTTTCAAAGGCCTACAGGATCTACTTACCACAAAGCAACAAAGTAATTGTCAACAATGATGTCTAATTCCTTGAGTTAGATAGTTGGAGTTGGGAGAATGACATGAAGCTTGAGTTTCAGAGAAAGAATGATGATGTTGATGAAAAACCCGTTAGAGGAACCAGATCACTCTCGACATTTATCAGAGGTGTAATGTTGCTTCAATGGAGCCTACATGATATGAAGAAGTTGCAACTAATAAAAATGGATAGATGCAATGAATGGTTTAAAACATGTACCAAGGTTCTGTATGGTTTAAAATAGGCACCAAGGTCCTGGTACAGTAGAATTGATGCACATTTGATAAACTCAAGCTTGGAAAAGAGTCTAAGTGATTACTTTATATATCAAGATGGTTGATGATTTATTTGTGACATGAAGCAATGGAGAGCTCATTGACACGCTTAAAGAAGGAACGAAAGAAGCTTTTGAAATGATTGGTCATGGAAGAATTACATTTGTTAGGTTTTTAGTATTGGCAATTCTGTAGACAAAAGAACTAATTTCTAACGCGTTGTAAAGTCCCTAGGGTGCAATTTGTATAAATTAGGTTATGAGGTCAACGGTTCAAGAATGAAAAGAAGAGAAACATGGCACTGTATTTTTGCTAGCTTCTCGCCCAGTTGGCGCTCGAACGACAAAAATAGAACGCCTGTCTCCTGCCTGTCATCGAGCTATCGCTAAAGTGACAGCGCTTCGCTCGTCTGTCGTTGAGTCCTTGCTCGAGCGATAGGTCGATTCGAAAAATCCAATTTTGATGTTTTGAAGTATTTTTCCGGCCCAATAAATACCCAAACCTATGCACGAAAATTGGGGTAGTTGTTTATTGTACATCTTTGCTGTAATTTATTTTCTCTTAATTTTATACAATCACATAATTGGCGAAAACATCAAATCCATTGAATCCATAACACCTGCTTCTTAAACACTTTTGGGAAGGCACTTTCTCAGTTGAACTTCAGAGGCTGTTGGAAGTTGAGAGAGGTTTGACTACAAGTGCATGAAGAGCACAAGGCCTTGGAGCAGGTTTTTGGAATTCCACTTGGAAGAGACAATTGCAGAAGATCTTGAAGCAGACCTTGGAGTTAGCAGGAAACAAATCGAAAAGTCTAGTGGAGTTGGCTAGATAGCATCTGACTGTAACTCACTTCCTATTGTCTATAGTGGAAGTAATTGGCTTGGTCCTAGAGTTTTTACCCAGTTAGATTTCTCTGTCATCAAGTGCGAAACCCAATTTTTTTCAATTGGTATTGGAGTCCAAATTATCTAGATAAGTAATTCATTATCCGTCTCACCATATTTTGATGACAATAATTATATCTAGTGGAAGGTTAGGATGAGAGCTTTTTTAAAATCCATGGATGATGGTATATGGCTTAGTGTTGTGAATGGTTGGGCTTCACCTAATTCTACTGTTAATAATGAAGTAATCCCCACTCCTATTGCTAATTGGACTAGAGTGAACTTAGATGAGTGTAACTGGAATATCAAAGTCTTACATGCCCTATTTATGGCAGTATGCTCGAAAGAGTTTAGCGAGTGTCAATGTGTGAGGTAGCCAAAGAGGTTTGGGATTTTCTAAAAACCACACATGAGGGAACTCAGGCAGTTAAGAACTCTAAATTGCAGATGTTAACCAATAGGTTTGAAGAAATTCGGATGAAGAAAGATGAAACTTTTGATGATTTTTATGCGAGTTTAAATGACATATTAAATTCTAGCCTCAATCTTTTCAGACATATGAACTTACATTAGGTAAACCTAAGATTGAGAAGTCAATTGCCTTAAACATCATTAGATATGAAGATCCTGACTCTACCCATTCAGATTCTCCTAATGAAGAGGAGTTTGCTTACCTTACTAAAAAATTTCGAAAAATATTTAGGAATAAACAAAAACCTCAAGAAAAGCATAGAAGTGGTCCTCGTGGATCTAGGAAGAGTTTTAAAACTGTGAGATGTCATAATTGTAGATGTTTTGGCCACGTTAGGAGTGAGTACCCTAGCAGTAGGAGAATCTAAATAAGACTATGAATGCTACTCTTACTGATGACGAGTCTAACTCGGACAATAAGAGTGAGAAATCAACTCGTGAGGAAAGTGAAAAATATACTACCTTTACTATGAAATTAAGAATGGATATGATAAGGGGAGTGAGAAGGTTGAGAGCATAAGTAGTAGTGAGAATTTAAAAGAAGATTCTGATAGTGAGGAAAATTCTGATAGCAGGGGAGATAGTCATGAGGCTTATGACAAAATATATGATGAGAACATTAAGATTCTAACAAAAAATAAAACCTTAAGTACGAGATTTACGGAACTTGAGTAGGAAAATGAGAAACTCGTAGCATACTTTCAGGAATCAACCTCAACCCTGAGTGAGTTGAAATCCATGAATGAATTTTTAGATGTTTAGGTTAGGAATCTTACTAGTGAGCTTGGAAAGACCTATAGGGGAGCTAATGAGCTGACAGTTGAAAAGGAAATCTTAAAAATCCAAGCTAAAAATCTTTTGAGCGACCTAGAGTATTCCAAGTCTCAACTTCTTGCCTTTCCTAGTGCTTCTATAAAGCTGGATAGCATTCTAGGAATTGGCAAGCCTGCTAGTAATAAAGGAGGTTCAGGATATAATAAAAATGATCATAACGTTTCTAGTACGTCCAAGACCACATTTGTCCCTGCTACTGACCAGCTTAAACATGTACTCAACCTTGAAACTTAGAATAAAGGATATGTCGGACATAGGCCTACTAGACAGTGTAGGACACGCCAACCTAGGAATAGATATCAACGATCACTAGGTTTATCCTTACTTATTTTCATTGCCGTGAGTTAGGACATACATGGCCCAGGTGTTGTCATTTCCTGAACAGAAATAGAATCAGAACTTAAATAGAAATAAGAATCAGGATTATGTTGGTCGATTGACTTCCTTACTAATCAGGTAAGTAAATTGACCAAATTAATGACATAGATGACCGAAAATATTCCTCTCACTAGGAAAGTTTGGATGCAGAAAAGTGATCTGAAATTTTTTGAAATAGATCAAGGCCCTCTTAAAGGTAAAAACATTTGCATACCTAACTTATTAGGTATTTTTGGTGCATGCTTGTGCTTTATCATTGGGTGACATTGATTTATGCATGCATCATATTTGTTTATTTGTTTTCTATGTAGAAAACTCATGCATATTTTTTATTTTTATTTTTTATGAGTTTGCAATTTTTTTGTGTGCTCGATGTATTCATGATTTAAAATAAAAACAACAAAAAAATGGAAAATTTGAAAAATAAAAAATATGCGAGAAATTGTTTTTACAGTATAATATATAATAATCTTGATTTTGTTAGTTGTGATCAAGTATGAGTTTAATCGATGAGCTGTAACATAATTTTCATTGCTGGTTTAAGTTATTATGGAGTACTTAGTATATGTGTCTTTAAATACTGACTGTACGTACACACTATGATATTGTTAGTGTGACTCAACCGCGTGTGAGAGATTTGGGATGGCAATCACGTGTTAGTAAGGTGACTTTGAACATGAATTGACTTTATTTATTAGACCTAAGCTCAAGTTTATCCCCGGTAATAAAAAACTCAATATCTTATGTTCTTCTTTAGAGCTTATTTTATTAGACCTAATCTCAAGTTTATCCCCGGTAATAAAAAACTCAATATCTTATGTTCTTCTTTGAAGCTTATTTGACTCGAGCAATTAAGCATGTTGGGTTTCTCATAACTTGGTGCCTATGGTCAACTAACTTGAGTTAACCGGTCTAAAGCTTGCTACAGAGTTCTCTTGGTGGAGAAGAACCTACATTTAAAATGTAAAAAATAATAATGAGCTTAAAATATTGAAAGATGTGAAAATAAAATATGCTCAAATTCATGGGGAGAAAAGAAAATATCCATACAAATGAGCTTTACTTTATAGGTTCTAATGTGCTTTAAATAATTTGACTTTCATAGCTAGAGGAATACACTTATGGCGGTGATGTTTAGCATGACATTTCTCACATTTTAATTAAGGTTTGAAGTCCTACTTACGAAAGATTAGTGACACTTTACACATATGGGTCACTTATATAATTTACTCCATGTTATCTTGAACTAAGTATGTGGGAAGGTTTACTGTACATTGTTTATACTTGTGCATGCTAACAACAACATTTTTTGAGTTATTATATGTTAATGATAAAAATTTTTAATTATCGGTCCCTTCGTCATTTGTGCCAAAAAAACTGGGGAGAGTAAAGTAAATGTTTTGAATGGGAGACTTTAAAAAATTTTGAGGTGAAGTTGATTGACATGGGGAGATTTATTGATTGCATTGCATTTCATACCATATGTACCTAACTGTTTGAGTTTTTGATGTTTGTATTATGCTAATGTTTTTGTTGGTGTTTGGATTAACATTAGTGTTACGTCTCATTCTAGCTAGTGTTGGTATTATGTGTTTAATGATTTTATTATTTCCTGTATCACGTACTTTTCCACAGGGTATTTCAATTGTAAATTTCAGGAAACGGGTTTAACGAGTAATGCAAGAGACGTCAGTTTGATGAAGATTAGGTAGTTTAGATTTTGTATTTAGCTTTCCTTGACTTATTGTATAGTTTTGTCACAAAATGCCCAAGGGTGAGTTTTTTAGGTTTTTAGTGTTGGAAATTATGTGGACAAAATGACTAATTGTAACGTGTTGTAAAAGTCAAGGACCTAGGGTGCGATTTTTACAAATAGGGTTCGAGCATGAAAAGAGGAGAAATATGGCGTTGCATTTTTGCTAACTTCTCCCCCGGTTGGCGCTTGAGCGACAAAAATAGAATGCATGTTGCTCGCCTGTTGCCGAGCTCTCGCTCGAGCGACAGGTCGATCCAGAAAACCCTATTTTGCTGTTTTGAAGTATTTTTCTGGCTAGTTCAACCTAATTACCTTCTCCTATAAATACCCAAGCCTATTCACGAAAATTTGGATGGTTGTTTATTGTGCCTCTTTGCTATAATCTATTTTCTCTTAATTTTATACAATCACGAAAATTAGTGTGTGTGTTCATTGTGCCTCTTTGCTATAAGTTATTTTCTCTTAATTTTATACAACCACAGAATTGGGGAAAACATCAAATCCATTGAATCCATAACACCTACTTCCCAAACACTTTTGGGAAGGCACTTTCTCAGTTGAACTTCAGAGGCTGCAGGAGGTTGGCAGAGCTTGGACTACAAGCGCAGGAAGAGCACAAGGCTTTGGAGCAGGTTCTTGGAATTTCACTTGGAATAGACAATTGCAAAAGATCTTGGAGAAGACCTTGGAGTTAACAAGAAATAGATCGGGAGTCTAGTGAAGTTCGTTAGATAGCATCTGACTGTAACTCACCCCATATTGTCTATAGTGGAGGTAACTAACTTGGTCCCGAAGTTTTTACCTATTTTGGTTTCTCCGTCATCAATATTGTGTTATTTATTACTTTCCTTATTACTACGGTAATTCAACATAGGATAATTGGACTTGTATACTTAATTATCTAGAAATAATTCAAAGTGACTTGTTGCTTTTGATTGATTAATTCTGCACGTAGAGTCAAAACTAAAAACGGATAAGTAACAACCATTCGATAACTTAAAAGTCGTTAAATTGGTAATCCGCGAACTGTTAAGTGGTATCCAGTACGAAACCCAAATTTTTTTTTTCAAAATTCTTCCTTGGTATGCGGGTGGGGCAGAATTAAAGTGAAATCTTTGTAAGTCAGAAAAAATATGCAAATGAGTTTATCGGGAAATTCAAAATGGAGGAATGCAAGTCAACAATAACTCCAATGGATCAAAAAGAGAAGTTTGTAAAGAAGATAGAGCTGAAAAAGTTGATAAAGGGCTGCACAGAAGCTTTATAGGCTGCTTAGTGTCCTTAACTGCTAATAGGCCAGACATTATGCATGCAGTAAGTCTGCTGTCAAGATACATGCATTGTGCAAGTAAAATTCACTTTCAGGTAGCAAAAAGAATCCTTAGATATGTCAAGGGCACAGTTGACTATGGAATAATATTCCAACAAGTTAAAAATTTCGGTCTTCATGGCTTTTCTGGCAGTGATTGGGCTAGATGTGTTGATGATATGAAAAACACTTTAGGTTACTGATATAGATTTGGTTCTAGAATTTTTTAATGGTGTTCAAAGAAACAAAAAATCATAACACAGTCTACAGAAGAAGCGGAATATATAGCAGCTGCATCAGTTGTGAATCAGGCTTTGTGGAATAGAAAACTCATGATTGGTTTACACATGGAACAAAAGGAGAGTACACAAATTTTTGTAGATAATCAAGCTACAATTTCAATTGCCAACAATTTAGCGTTTCATGGCAAAAAAAAACACTTCAAAATAAAGTTTTACTTTCTAAGAGAAGTACAAAAGCAAGGAGAGGTGGAGCTAATCCATTGCAAGACAGATAATCGAAATGCTGATGTTCTAACAAAAAGCACTTCCTAAAGTAAGATTTGAATATCTCAAACAAAGACTTGGTGTATACAGCTACGGAGTGAAGGACGGGTGTTGATTGGATAACTCATGCTAACAAAAAAAAAAATAGTTTTATTTGTTGCGATTCTTTGGGCAATAAAGAAGTCAACGACTGTTAGGATTATGATCATTTTATCATGCTATTTTGATATGCTCAATCTGTAGCAGATTTTTCTACATTTCATTTTCATTATGCTACATAAATAGATGTACTCTGGATCAATAAAAATAAGTTTTTTGCAGTCTCATAATATCTGTGCTCTTGTTATCTTTATCTTTTCACTTTTCTTTTTTGAATATCCAACACGTCATTAATATGTAATTTCATATTTGTCAATTCTTATAAATCTTGTATCTTTCTAACTTACATTGGTCTCATCTCATCTCTCTCTTGGAGAAGGTAATCCTAGATGAGTCTACTATTGAAGAAGAATTTGAAGAGAATGACAAACTAGTCACAACGGGACTAAACAAAGATGTGGCAATCAATGAGGAGAAAATCAACTTACACTCTTCCGAATTAGTTGATTGCCAAGATATTGATTTTGTGATTAAGCCATATAAAGAAGTAGAAATCTTCATAGTTGAATTTGAATTGGATGGAATAGGAAAGTCTTATTATATGGAAAGGTTCAATGTTGAGGTTTGGAGACTAAATAAAAAGTAGATCAAAGCCAAACGAAGAAAAAAGGGCAAGGCATCCAAAGCCTTCTTCATGTGCCCGTGATTTAATTGCCAAAGTCGAGCTAAAGAATATAAAAAAGCGCTTGTTGGGAGGCATCCCAATTTCTAACTTTTAAGCTTTTTATTTACTTTTATGTACTTCCATTAGCTACTATTATTTTTGTAGGTGATTTTTGAAGTCCCACATATACATGGTTCCTAACAAGTTTGGGGGCAAATTGGTGTACAAGAAGTTCACTTGCCCAAGTTCATCAAAAGCATCATAAGTCTAATTTAAGCACTTCACAAATATACAACCGAAAAATTTCGTTATCCCCTCTTCTCTTTTATCTTTTTCTTTACACATTGAGAACAATGTGTGATTTAAATTTGGGGGCGATTGTACTGAAATTGATTATATTATATTGACATAATAGATAACCTTGCTGACCTATGATGTTTTGATATTTAGGCCCCGTTCGGGAGGGATTAAAAGTCAATTAAAATTGAAAATATGGCCGTTTTTGGACCCCACTCGTCTAATAAAAGTCAACAATAACGGCTATATTTTCAATTTTAATCTGATTTTAATCCCTCCCACACAAGCCCTTAAAATTATTGTTGATTCATGAGCTATGACCAAATATGCTATTTGTGCCTAATTTTTTTTTTTCAAAACTTTGCTTATCCATGTAAGATCCTTACTTTGAGCAAAATGGTCATGATTAATTGTTATCTAGATGTGAAAGTTTTTGATTGATGGAGATCGAGGTTTTTGAATTAGTTGAACTAGGTTGTGAGTTGTGTTTAAATTTTTATCAATCCTATATTCTTGTCTCCTTCACTTAAACCATATTACGAAATAAGTTTGGGGATGGTCAAGTCGGCGAAGGAAATTATCTGGAAGTGTGTTGATTTCATGCATATGATCATATTTGTGTGAAGTATCTTTTGATAAGTATAAGTTAGGTAATGACCATATACTAGGGATCTAAGCCCATTTATTTTGTCATACTAAAAAGGGACATTGCACTTGTTAATTCTTACTTTACTTCGTAGACTTTTTTTACTAGAGTTATTAAGTCCATAGGGATTTCTCGAAACCTGGTACCCTTTGGTATAAAAACTCAGGGAGCTATCGACCTAAAACTCGCTACATGGATCAAAAAGAAAGCTTAAGGGATTAAGGTCAACATGAGTTTTTTTTGAAAATCTTGATGAAAATTGTACAATTGTATTTGATGTTTTGGCTTAGATAATTAGTGGGTTTTAATTATTTAATATAACTATATAAGCTTAAATGCTGAAACACTCATCTAGTGCAGAATCATCACATGGATAGATTTTTTACATAGCCGATTAGGCCCAACCAAACTAGAGTGAGAAAAAAAAAAAGAGTGATTTGAGAGTAACCTTTAGATTTACACTTGAAAAAAAAAGTAAATATATATTTAAGGACTGTGAATCTCACGAGTGAGAAATGAAATATTTGACCATAAAGGATGAGGTTGAAGCCAATTTGAATTTTTTGTCGTCCTAACAACTTTTTCCTAATTTAGATGGTGATTGAAAGTGACTATGGACACACATACATTGATCGAACATTGAATAAGTTTAAATTGTTTTAGTAGCACTATTTGGAGGTATATTTGTAAATTGATTACACAATTTTACACTCATTGATAATTTTAACAATCTAATGTTGTTAATCTTTATCATGTGTTACTTGATTGTCCTAGTAGATAATCTTGCTTAGAACAAGCAAGAACTTAAGTTTTGGGTATTTGATAAATATATTTTTGTACACTTATTTAATACCTAAATAAACTTATTAGTTGTAGCGCCCCGACCCGCATGGGTCGAAACGTTACAAGACTAGCTTAAGTTTAGTCGTAAACTTAATAATTTACGATACCTTTAGCAAAAAGTATAAAATTTAATTCAAGACTTATTTAATTCTGAACAACATCATTTCAATACTAGAACCAAATAAAAAAA